GTAGCTATTTAGGAAAGCACGATGATTAAAGGATGTGTCAAGTTTATTGATTTTTTTATGTAGACAAGTCATAAATTTTGTGCTCATTCTTTTTTAATCCTATTTGAAAATGTAATATTTTATAAAAGAGGTTATATATATTGAAAGTTTTATAATAAAAAATATATTCAAATATGATATATGACTTATGATTAATCTAATTATATATTACTACATTTTTTGTGCTATATTTTTTAAAATTCATACTTAAATTTAGTTAAAAATCATTTTGTATTCATTAAATTATATAAATTAATGATGAAATCGTTCGATATCATCTCAAAATCACTAAAATTGTGATGTAATTAATTGTATTGATTGTGATTGTAATTCTTAAAAAGCTACATTGCTTCGAATTTTCTGCAGATATTGTTTCAAGTTCCGCAATTATTCATTTACAAATATCTTTCTTACATGAACTCTATTTCTTTCAAAAATTTCTAATTTTTAACTAATAATAAGCTGATAATCAATCAGATACAACTCTTCTATCACGGTACGATTAGTCAAAAACCGTTTCTATGAGTTCTGGAAGTTATATTAGTGTTCTAAAACTTTTCTAATACATACAAAAGTTCTGAAAAATTTATCACACACTTCAGAACTTAGCTCATAACAAATTCTAAAGTAAGACAACAGTTGATGATTAAGCTGCTGCAATTGCAGTCTAAAACCCGAATGCAACGGGAAAAGAATGTCATATTTGTCAAACAAGGATGCTCACAACATGTAAGTTGAGAAAAACCAACAAAGAAGTTTGCTCCGAGCATTTTAACAATTATTTAGTGTGAATCGTTTCCTTGTTTTACTTCTGTTATGGGTAGTTATAGATGGACTAAGTTCGAAATTAGTCCTGTTGATATTTAAGAGTTGTAAAGAGTCTCTTTTTTGTCAATAATTAAAATGCTGTAAGACATAATGCAATATGAAAATGCAAATATGATATAAATGTAGAAAATGGTTTCTTTCTAACATTTTAAAATTCGGAAGATTGATGTTGGAAGAAAGATTGTAATATCTATAGATGTTAATTTCTGTGAAGATGCGGCAATCGATTTCGATTTTGTTGTCTACGTAACGTCTGACTAACAAAATATTCCCCGAAGAATTTAAGCGTGGTATATCGACAATAACTTTTTTGTCTGAAACGATAGACTTCAGAAGTGTAGCTTTTAGTATTATCCTTTATACCCCACAATTACTTTTGATCGTTACTGAGTGTCAAACACAAGTAGGCGACTTACGATTGCTTTGAGAGAGCAACGCGTTAAAGTTGCCCAATACATTTTACGAGTGGAAAGATAGAAAGTTTGAAAAGAACATCAATTTCCTTAAAAATGATATTATAGCTTTTGGAGGAACTTGACAAAAATGCTATATTAAATAATAAAATTGCAACAATTTAATTGTAATCAACAATTACAAAAAAAAACATATTGAAAATTAGTACAACGGTTTTCCGAAATGAGAATAATATAATATATATAATATATCATAAAACATAAAGTGAAATCAAGTAACAGGATTTTAAATCGAAACTGTGATTAGAAGGAAAATCAAAAAATAACCAATATTATGAGGTAAAATGCCTAAGCAATGCCATAAGCAAATGAGGCAGGAAGTTTCAAGTATTTCCATGAGCGTTGCTTGAACAACCACTCTGCATCTTTCCTTCTTTTCTTTTATCATGTTTATATACTTGTTTGACTTTGTAGAGGTGCAACAACTCATTGATACCTCGCTCTCAATTACTTCGCTTTTGCATCTTTTAGTTTTAGGTTTCTAGTTTATATGCCCATTTTATGATATATACCGATCTACCATTTTATGACTCTGAGTGCGGAGTTGCGTAATAGATACTTGTTACAAACTGGATTAGATTATAAACACTCAATATAACAGCCTTATTTGTCCTTAACATTTTTTCGTATTATTAGATTATAAGCAAGGAATTTATCTGACAAACTTTGCCATGCTAACATATGTGTATTATCAAAATTAAAGCAAAAAAGACAATATTAAGCACCAGAACTACAAACTGTTATAACTACAGTGAAAAAGACAAAAATCGAAGGGTCCAGACTGGTGTATAAATACTTGTACCTACATAACCGATTTGATCAACACATATGGGAAGTACACGACTTGAACATGATGTCCATTTTGAGTTTTGAGTGAAAGTATCGAAGTCTACATCTAAAAGTCCGTATGCAAACAAATGAATCTGCAAGAATATCAAGTTACTTAAGACACCTTAAATACAGAAATAAATACATGTCAATAGAAGGTAATTTTCGAATCTATAAGTAAGACCAGTAGTAACACACGCGGGGAAAACATGTGCAGAAACTTCGATTAGCGGAGTAACGTCATGTGACCAGATTAAGAATGTTGTAACATGAGAGGAAGTATATAGAGAATTAGTTATTAAATTCACAAGATCCAGACGAGGGACGATGGGCGAAATGGGTGAAGGAATCGAAGAGACTTCCTGACAGACAACCTAAGAGATGGCATAAAAGCTGGACAATCGCGTTTCAAGATTCCAAAATACTTTTAAGTTTTGTTATGTCAGTTTTTCGATTTATTTTCTGGGTTTCTACAATTCGTGCCTGGCGTATAGTTAAAATCATTCTCATGTCTCTTTTGTCTTTCCAGATATGCCTTAAAGTTTGACTTTTTCTGAAATCATGTTGTCGTTTTCCCAACTTAATTTTTTTAGTCTTGAGATAACTCTCAAGTTTCTATTGTTGCATGTTTTGTGGTCGATCCGAGATTTCATCCGTTCTTTCTATTGGTTCCCTTAGGAAAGGAGTAGATGTTTCGCCAAGATCTCACCTGGCATTTTTAGTGCGTTGTCGTAGTCTCCTGTCGGTTGACTTGAAGGTGGTGGAGATGTCGTGTTTATGTAGAAGTCTTCCTATGCGGTCAGTCGTTCCTCTAATGTAGGGTAGTACGACAATGGGTCTTCTCTTCTTGTAGGGGTGGATTCCGAGGCTTGGAGTGTCGGTCGATAGCTTTGTTCACCATATACCTGCAGTAGCCGTTTTGGGAAACGGTTGTCTGTTAGTCGAATGAATCATGAATTGTATCTGTAAAGGGTGATGATGGGAAAAGGCGTTAAGGTATCAGTTTGTGTGCGTAGGTTTTCTATAGACGGTGTATTGGAGCCTGTTGGAAGATTTCTTTATGTGTACTTCTAGAAATGAAAGCTGTCCGGTTTCTTCTATTTCTGTGGTGAACTGGATTTTTCGATGAATAGTGTTTAAGGATTCCTGAAAGTCATTCAGCTTTTCTTTTCCAAAAGGCCAAATGACGAAGATATCATGGACGTAGCGAACCCATAACTTGGGCTTCTGCCTGGCATTTCTTAACGCTTTTCTCTCGAAGTAGATGATGAAGAGGTCTGGCCGTCTAATAGAAAATAAACATTATTGAGGCAGTGTTTGGCAAGGTCTACGATGTGGCTGGGTAAATCTTCGTTCTCTCTGATCTGTTTGAGGGCTTCTTGTTTGAGTCTGCCGACCTGAGACTACGACACGCACTGAAGATGCTAGGTGTGTTAGATTCGCATAACATTCTTACTAGTGTTAATCGTATTTTGTAATCTTTCCAAGGTTGTAGCCATGAACACTTAAACGTCCTCAATAACTTAAATTAATTAACTTAGTAATTATCCATAAAATATTTTGCTATTGACTCTACTTCGAAAGGTCGTCTTGCGCCATTACATCATTATCATCATTATCACAATCACTAAATTAGTGATGGTAGTATTTGCCAGAATCTATTTCTGGTCATGATGATCAGTAGATCAATACTCGTTAACACTATTTTTCCTAACTTGTCCTATTAATACCTTTAAAGCTGAGTTTTTTTTGGCTTCGGTTATCGTTGTATCTTCCAATGCTTAGTGTTTTTAAAATAACAAAGTTGTAAACTACTTCCGGTAGACGAGATGTGGCAGCCATTTTGAAGATATTTTATCCTGACAGAACAAGATGTACCCTCATAATATGATTTTCAAAGACATAGAAGTACTAGATCCCAAATGTATTCTAATGTACCACTTGCTTAGAACATCCTGTATATCTTTGTTGAAAAATATGCTGAATCTATTTTTAATGAATTTAATTTTTTTAATCCCTTGTAATAATTTACGTTGATAAATAATAAATAATTATAAATAAATAATGATAAATGGTACCCCTCCCCCGATCGGTATTAAAATTGTGCGGTTAGGTATAAAAAGGGATCTATAAAATAGTTTAAAAATGACTAAAATGTTTTTGAGGGTGTGGTTCTAACATATTTTATTAACGACTGTTCCTTTTCAGTATTTATAACTATTTTTAATACTTCATTATTAATATAATAATATTAATAGCTGTAAGTACTGTTTGAATTAAACATAATCATTGAAAATTCAAAGTTATTTCAAATTCAAACAGATAGTCCATGCACTAGTTTTCTGAAAACGCTGTGTGGAAACTATGGAATTAGCCAGTCCGTATTCGGAAATTTTGAGATGAAAAGTTCGAGTACAAAGCATTTGAAAATGTTTCTATACTACAATAACACACCTTTCATTTACATCTCAAATAACTTCATCATAAAAATACTCTTTCGTTTAAGAATACTTTTAATCTTCAAGTTAATTTAAAAAAATTTAATTAAACAATCAACAAAAAATTTGAAGAACCAAATGACTCAACATTCCAGTCGTCCATATTACGTAAATTATACATTTCTATTTATCTGGAATTCTCCAATGACTCAGCATCTTGTACAGTTTCCTACCCAATAAATCACATATACATAAAATATCACCACTTCGATTCTGACAATAAATTTGAATGTAATCTAAATTAATGAGAAACAAGAACATAAATCTTAATTAAAAATTTTTGATTTTCAAATTTCCTTTTAATTAAAAACAAGAACTAATTAAAACCCCCTACCTTGATTACAATTAGCATCACCCCTCAAGTCTGTTTGTTCATCGGACGCTATTCTAATATCGTCTTTTTCGTCAACATTCGCAACAGATTCCTTGCTAGTATTACAACCCATACTTTCTAATAAATTTCACTTAAGTAACACTCCTTTTTTCCTACAATCTTTCCCTCAAATCCCACACAATGTTTTATTTATTATTTTATCCTTTTTTTATTAAAGTTCCACTATTGTTATATTATAATTTAAGTTTTATTCTAACACGTTCATTCGTAAAATTACGTTTTAACGACACGAAGAGACACAGACTGGTAGACCATAGAGCATTATCTCCGCAACTCGATAGAGAAAATAGGGGTGGTGTATTTCTCCAACCCCATTCAAATCTCGCGACGCGTCCTTCGCGAGTATGCGCACTTTTGTCGATGACGTATTCACGGTGGTGAGTAATCGGGGAGATTAATTAAACGATCTTGGTTTAATAAGGCAATGATTATAATTTGATATAAAATAATTTTTGACAAAAAATAGTATAGATTTAAATGATTATTTTTAATTCATAAACAGTAGTAATGAATTTTAGATATTTACTAATTGTAAGATATTTATTAAGAAGAAATTCTTGAATCGATCAATTTTAGGAATACATAATTTAGTGGACGAAATGTAAATAAAGGTGGATGAACCGGTTAAACTGATGTCAATTAAAATGATATCATGCAACTTTATTTAGGAATAGTAGTTACGAGATATTTTTTATGCAAATTTATCCAGGGTAAATACCCAAACAGTGTGTATAAAAGTAATACCATTAAAAATATATCAGATTCCAAAAAAAATGAAGAGGAAGATGATGAGGACGTTGAAGATGAGGAATTGTCAACAATCAAAGACGTATTATCATTAGACGAATCTGCCGTAATTTAGATTAGATCAAGTTATTATCATTATTATCATCAAGCAGCCCTCTGCGTCCATTGTTGGACATAGATATTCTATTCTGTGCTGTCTGAATCCAATTGTTGGTCATTCTTTTGACGTCTGCGTCGTCTATTCGCTCGCGGTCTCCAGTCAAGCAACCGTTTTGTCCACTGCTCATTCTTCATTCGCGCGACATGACCCGCCCAGTTCCACTTAAGCTTTGCCACAATGTTGACCACATCATTTACGTCAGTTTGTCTTCATAGGTCTTCATTTCGTATGTAGTCCCTCAGAGTTAGACCCAAGATCGACCTCTCCATCTATCTTTGCCTTACTTGGACCCTCCTGTTAGTGGCTACCGTTAATGTTAAAGTTCTGGAGCCTTATGTCATAACCGGAAACACGCATTGATTGAAAGCCTTTCTTGGCCTTTTTTCTTGAAGATTTCTCTAAGTTTCCCGTAGGCTGCCCTGTTTGATTATCTCTCGATACGCGAACCATATAGCCAAGATATACATAGCTGTCAACCCTCTCAATCTCATTATCTCCAATGTTGATATTAGAGCTGGGAACAAGATTTATCATTAATTTTGATTTCTCCTCGTTGATATTTAGCCCGACTCTTGCACACACCTCCTTTAAGTCGTTCAGCATTAGTTTAATCTCTCCAAGGCTATCCGATATAAGTACTATATCGTCCGCGTAGCGCAAATTACTTAAACATTTGCAATCAATGTTTATGCATTGTTGGGTCCAATCCAGTTGTTTAAATGCACTTTGAGGACTGTGATGAACAATTTGGGTTCAACAGTGTATCGCCTTGTTTTGCTCACAATCAGTAACACCAGAGTATAACACCAGAGTTATACACCAAACGTGGCCAAAATGTATGACAAGGCGTCTTATCCTGCCTTCTCATTCAAATCAAGCTCGTACACTAGCACTGTTACAAGTGTGGGCACTTAATATCTTAATAATAATGATATATATTTTTAATTCACTAATTTATGGCAAACAATGTTCAACTTAGGAGTTAAACAAAATCAAATGATTGCATTTGAAAACTATTAATACAACGGGCTTGCTTTCCTTTGAAATTTGTTTATTTCTTGGTTAAATTGCTCTGGCGTTGAGTACGGATGGATTCCCTTGCTTTGTGTTTGAGTTGGAATGCTATGTGATTGGGTAGGGTTCCCAACACAACCCAACTGTATGTCAAGTTTAAACTATAAAGGATTAGATAGTCGTGGTGTTGGCTTATTTTGGGGTTCGGTTAACTTTCTTTGAACTCGTGTTAATATGTGGTTGAGTTGCTTTTGGGTTAGATTTGTTTTTTTTTTAAGTTGGGTTGGGTTAATTTGTGGTTTGGATGAATTGCCATGTATGGACTTCTTTTGTACTTGAATTGGTTTGCGGTGGAGTAGATTATTTTGTGGTTGAGTCCATTTGACGATGGATTGACTTGTTATTGGTTTAGTTTTTTTTTTACAAAGCAACCCCAATCAATCACGTGTAGAGTTTGAATTACAACCACTTGACTTGGAGTTGCTTAACCACTCTTGCTTTGAGGCTAGATGGCTTGCTTTAAAATCGAGTTACCTTCTGTTTGAATTTCTTTGGGCTCGAGTTGGCTTGCTGTAGAATTGGCTTTTTATAGAGTCGAGTTACTTCGTAGGTATTCTTCCGGTGTATTCTTTTCTGGTTGAATTGATTTGGTTTGAAAATGTCTTACTGTATGGTTAAGTTGTATTCGAGTCATGTTGGCTTGCTTTGTAATTGAAATAGGTTTGGGTTAGGTGAATTGGGTTGGATTTGTTTGAGGTAGAATCGAGCCTAATTTTGTGGTTGTGGTTCTTTAGAGTTGAGTTCCTTTGACAGTGAGTTGGATTGACTTGGACATTGTACTGACGTGTCAAGGTTTGAACTACAGACTTTTGTCTTGGATAAGATTTGATTTGTCGCCCTTAACACCAAAACTGAAAATTGTTTATATCTGCCAATTAATTGTGTAATTAACTACCTCATTACAGAGTCCTAAAATTTGTCAATACACAGCGTTAACAGCAATAACAGCGTTGTGGTCGTTGTTTATTGATCTTCTTCTTTCAACCAATCTCAAGCTTCGTTCTTAATTATTCTTTAGTTATTCACACAGATAATAATTCTGATCTAGTATAAGACGCAATAGAATCTTTACTTACCAACCTGTCATTATCGATAGTGATAACGACAGGTGATGATTTACAACTGGTTTTAATGGTATTACCGGTAGCAATAAATAATATACCCTTTTGCATTTAAGAGGAATATTTTACAACAACCAAAGATTTATCATTGTTGGTGATGTTTTCAAGGAAAACCTAACTTTCGGTTTTGATGTCAAACTATATGACTCTATATTACATATTATTATTCTCCGAACATACTATTCATCATAGATGATTATAGTTGCTGTGCATTTCTCTTTCCACTGAAAATGATTTATGATATTGTAATTATGAATGTAGTACCGTTCTTTTCCCTTCTTGGGCAACCGCAATCTGTATGGACCTAAATTAGGTTCTATCATGGGGAGAATATCAAGAAATTGAATTCTTAGAAGTTTCTATGGCGGCTGTGGAAGCCATGCTGAAAAGTGCCAGGTTGCCATACACTTACTAGACATTGAACTTCATACAGTTCTAGATGTACCATACGTTCTTCTACTTTTGTCCACGATACGATGGATCCATAGATGATTATGTCCAAACCTCGGTTTGGTACCGCCAAACTCAGTGGTTCTAACATCAGATATCCTTTAGCTCTATCGCGCAATATTCAAAGTGTTATAGTAATTAGACAATACTTACTCTCTACTAGTTTACCCATCTTCTTCATGTTTTAGTATCCAACAAATATTAAGACACCTAAAGAAATGACAATTTTTCCCATACAATGTTGTAATATTTGCAAATATTACTATTGGTTAGTCATTAATACCGGTAGAATAAGAAATCAATAGAAATAAATAATAATTTATTTATAATTAATGTTAACGATGTGCTAATTATACTCAGCAATAATTTTTTGTCAATCGCTATTGATAGTAATTTTTATCAGATTTTCTCAGATCTTCTGTGTCGATATATCAGATCTTCTCAGAAAATTAGGCATCACATCGCACAAGTCACCACAATGACGTGTGTTTAAAGATAGCTTTAAACATGATTATAAAGGTGTTCTGTTGCATAATGGGAATGCGCAATAAAAGTAATGATATTAAAATGGTTATCGATTTACCCAAATATCGTAAACACAACCAAAACGCTTTACTAAGTCGCCATGCATTTTAATACTATAATCAATTAAAAGAAATTGTCTAGTCATGTCACAGCAATATACCACGCTACTTTATTGATAACATGTTACAAGCTATCAATCATGAATCGATCGCATTGGCATGTATGTAAATTTTTTAAAAATTAAAAGAATCTTCCTTAATATCAAATCTTCTTTCTATTACATACACATATGTTGTATATGTAGTATTAAAACTTGTGCCTACCCATGTGTCAATTTGTATTTAACAACATTTCTTTTAACTACAGAGTATATAGGCATAGGCCTTAACCTCCTCTGGTAAGACTAACTCCACATCTTTGTGCACCAACTTCCACCAATTTACCACATGCTCTCCAGATTCTAACCACGTACGCAGATATTTCGGCAATGTAGCCAAAAGGCGTTTTCTCTCACCTAAGGTACATCGGAGGTACTTCCAAGGTACTTCCTCGAATTTTAGACCATTTTTCATGTATGGCTCCCCACACTTAAGAAGCAAATGCTCTTTGCGCTAGGATAAAAACAATATCCATTATTGCTTCACCTGTCGGATAACTCTTACGTTTATGCAAGATCGGATAGCTATAATCCAATGATATGAGACCCGGACGTCAAATCTGCAAACGGATTCATTTCGGATGCTTCACTTGCAAAAGACTATAGGTCATTTCAGCAAGAGTTCTAGGCTTTCTTTAGCTTTCAGCTATACGACCGTGTTGCTTCAGAGGTTCAAAACTAAATAGAATAAAGGTTTTTTAGGCAATATATTACGTTCCTCTGGCTGTACACAATATCGCTTCACTATAAAATGACTATTTTCATTATTTGCCATTGCGGGGCAAAGGTTAAGGCATAAAATCAAATGTGTTAGCAATGTATTATAAAAATTGAATTAATGAATTTCAAGAATAAGTTATCTTTTTCTATCTAAGCCCTAAATTAGTCCGAGTGACGACTTTTTTACACCTAATTGCCAAAGCTGAATCAGGATAATAAGTTCCAGAGTATTATTGGCTTATAGCAACGTTATCCCTAGAATACTCAACCTTAATCCTTAATCTCTGACTACTATGTTATGATTACTTCGGTTAAAACAAATTCTATTATCAACTTTTCATCATTGTTTTAATTAATAAGCAAGAGTTAACTTAAAAAAATCGCAATAAATAAAAAAAAATCCTTAAAGAGCCATTCCATATTTTAATCTCTAAGTGGCCAAGTCCCTGAAGACGGACCTGACTTTCTCAACGACTGAAACCGAAGGAATTTAAAATACAAATATTTTTGTCATACGCATAACGAAAATCCTAAACTGTCCTGATGTTTTACTGTTAAATTTGAATAATTTTTCAATACATTTTTTAATAATAAATATAACTTAGCTCGAACACCTGTTAGATGTTAGATAACAATTTGAAATCGTGGGCAAAACGAATAAAGTGATCCCAACATAATTTCGCAACTCTTTCTAATACAAACGATTCATATAAGTCGTTTTCTTTCTAATCGATATCAAAATCAAAAAGTTTCTAAACTCCTTATAGAATTTATAAAAAGTCATTGACTGTCAATTCAAAGTTCATAAAGTCAAAAACATAACCTCTCTTATCTAACCTAAAATGTAAAATCGAAGTACTTTTTCGATCAAAATAATTGTGTAATTTGTGGAAGTGCGTAGTGAAAGTGTATAAATAATGTTAAAGAATATCATCTTCACAAAGGAAAATAGTTGACACAAAAAATTATTTGATAGTTAATGAAAAATAGGAAATGGAAAAAATGTCTTCATACAAAATTTTAGATAACGCGTATATCCGGATTATATTTTATGTATCGAAGATTCGATTTAGAAATTTACCATCATTCTTTTTTCCTTTACACATGTACGTAGTTTACATGCAAATTTGTAAAAGAAGGAAATATTTTAATATAATTTCAGTGCCAGATAAATTAATCTTAAAATTATTAAGCGAACACTCGAATTTGTCGAATCATGATCATTTAAATTGCGTAATCGTTTCGAAAAGATATCAATTGGAAGTTGAATTGGGTGATTATGCCAGATTGGTGTCACATAACAAATTTAGAACTGCTCAAGTATTAGGTTTAGATATTAACTATAATAATATATACATTGGACACACTTTGCATCATAATTTAGTTAAAGATGGGATTACGAAATCAGCAAGAGTTTGTTTAATGAATGCATCAAATATACGAGTTGCAAACGAAGTAGAAATATGTATAAATAATTCCAGAAACGATTTCGGAAACCTCATTACAGATACGATTTTAAAAAACTATTTTCTTACTCCAAAAATTATTCGAATGGGTGATATTTTAACAATAAACATTCAAACTTACGCACCCGAATTTATTGTAAAAAATTTAAAAATTAAAGATGACCTTTACGTTAAATGCACTAAAATTAATGGAAGCCGAGAGTTTGAGTTACCTTATTTTTGTGTTTTTGGTAAAACTACAGTTAAACAATCCGCTCATGTTATGGAATTTATACCAAGAAAAGAACAAATTATTAGTTTTCAATCAAATAATATTGAAAATGTGGAAGAAAATTTAAATACTGCTTACCCTGAAGGATTTCAAACTAGATTTTCTTCATTGGAAAAAGCTATTACACCATTTTTAAAGAAAAGTAAGACTTTCTTAGTTTAATAATGATTCAAACATTAATTCATTGAAATTTTTTTATTATAAATAAATCTTTTGTATTTAAAGAGGTGTTTGAATACCTCTTTAAAGGTATTTAAAGAGGTATTTACCTCTAGTATTAGTTAGGCTATATTAGCTTAAAAAAGGCATGAATATTAAATAAATTATTTACCTCTGTGGTACTTATTATATTTTGTTTGTAATTAAATAGTTGTTGAAGTTTGTTGGTTTAAATTTGATTGATTATGTTAAAAAGAAGATTATGGTCATTCACCAATGATTAATGATTTTACACTGATTTCAGTCTAATTTTAAACTTGGTATTACTTATAACTACCATACCATATTCGAAATAAACGTAATTCTATCTTGTTGGGTTGTATTTTTAGTTGATTTGTGTTGTAGTCGTTTCTTTGAAATAATATGTGAGATCTTGGATATTTATCCAATTTATGTACACAAAATACTTTGTACGACATCAAAGTGAAATATTTGTCATGGTGTATACAGGGTATTAGAGGTTTGCTTGTCAGAAACTTACACTCTCTTGAGTCTTCTTACTAAATTGGAATTCTTAAGAAGCTATGTATCTATGTTGCCATTTGTCATCAATTTCTACATTAAGGTCCCTAGGAAGATCATTCTGGCGAGAGTACCAGGGTGCATCAACTGAGTTGCTTAATACTAAGACTACGCTTTTGCTAATTCAATTGCAAAGTTAAATTTCTTACAGCTAAACCTCTTTCAGTAATTGCTTGTAAAGGAGCAGTTCGTTATATGGTTTGCTTATCAGAAACTTACACTCTCCTCTTGAGTCTTCTTATTAAATTGGAATTGTTAAAAAGTTACGTATCTATGTTGCCATTTGTGAACAATTTTTACATTAAGGTCCCTAGGAAGATCATTATGGTGAGAGTACCAGGATGCATTAACTGAGTTGCTTAATACTAAGACTACACTTTTGCTAATTCAATTGCAAAGTTAAATTTCTTACAGCTAAACCTGTTTCAGTAACTGCTTGTAAAGGAGCAGTTTGTTATATGGTTTACTTATCAGAAACTTGCACTCTCCTCTTGAGTCTTCTTACTAAATTGGAATTCTTAAGAAGTTACGTATCTATGTTGCCATTTGTCAACAATTTCTACATTAAGGTCCCTATGAAGATCTTTCTTGCGAGAGTACCTGGGTGCATTGACTGAGTTGCTTAATATTAAGACCATGCTTTTGATAATTCAATTCCAAAGTCAAATTTCTTACAGCTAAACCTGTTTCAGTAACTGCTTGTAAAGGAGCAGTTTGTTATATGGTTTACTTATCAGAAACTTGCACTCTCCTCTTGAGTCTTCTTACTAAATTGGAATTGTTAGGAAGTTATGTATATCTATGTTGCCATTTGTCAATAATTTCTACATTAAACTCCCTATGAAGACCATTCTTGCGAGAGTACTAGGATGCATCGACTGAGTTGCTTAATACTAAGACTATGCTTTTGATAATTCAATTCCAAAGTTAAATTCCTTACAGCTAAACCTGTCTCAGTAACAGTAAATACTTGTAAAGGAGCAGTTTATTATATGGTTTGCTTATCAGAAACTTACACTCTCCTCTTGAGTTATCTTACTAAATTGGAATTGTTAAAAGTTATGTATCTGTGTTGCCATTTGTCAATAATTTCTACATTAAACTCCCTATGAAGACCATTCTTGCGAGAATACTAGGATGCATCGACTGAGTTGCTTAATACTAAGACTATGTTTTTGATAATTCGATTCCAAAGTTAAATTTCTTACAGTAAACATCTTTCAGTAACTGCTTGTAAAGGAGCAATTTATCATATGGTTTGCTTATCAAAAACTTACACTCTCCTCTTGAGTCTTCTTACTAAATTGGAATTGTTAAGAAGTTGTTATCAGTTGCCATTTGTTAACAATTTCTACATTAAGGTCCATATGAAGACCATTCTTGCGAGAGTACCAAGATACATCGACTGAGTTGCTTAATATTAAGACTACGCTTTTGATAATTTAATTCCAAAGTTAAATTTGTTACAGCTAAACCTGTTTCAGTAACTGCTTGTAAAGGAGCAGTTTGTTATATGCAGAATTTGGATTTCTTTTCTTTTTATAGGCTTTTTCTTAGGGATATTTCGTTTGTGTGTATCTATAATCCTTGGTACTTAGCCGATGGTCGAGTAATTTTTTCAAAAATCAAATTGATGGAAAAGAATAAAATCAACTTCTTCCATCATAGACTTTAATCTTTCTTACTTTCTTGTACAATTTTAAAATTACATTCGACAGAGAAATGAGTGAAAAATGGTTTTTTCGACTTTGGTATCATTGTCACCTTCACCAGTTCTTGCATCTTAGGTACATACTCCATTCTAAAAGATGTATTGATAAGATTGGTCATCTTAATAATAGCTTTCTATGGAAGTTGTTTCATAATATTCGACTGTATGAATTTTTGGAGACCTAATCTCAGAAATATTATTCTTTGCTCCCTACTTCCAATGGGACTAAGAGATCAAGCAATTGCTCGAAACCATCAATCTTGAACTCTACCAGTCTGTTCGCTTAATGTCAAATTTAGATTGCAAAATCATTTTATGCGAACAGTATTGACGAATAACTTGAGTTTATACCTCATGTGTCTTCAAGAGTCTCCAAGTTTGTGTCTTTCACTTATTCCTATTTCACAAATTATATAGAAGTCTATGAGATCACAACTTTTGTTTCGATCTGTTGCATTTTGCTTTCTACTTGATACCCCTTTCCCCTTAATTATTGTTAATGTAAGTTTACCACGATGTGTGTTATATTAAAGTTTTCACACACTGCGAATTTGTGTTACGGCACCTTTAGGAAGATAGATATGATCCATTCTTGTGACATGCCTTTGTTTGAACATAAAGCTGTGATTGTAACATTACAAATTCTTCCGTCTTTTACCGTATTATTTGGTCTTCCTTTGTAAAATGAGTTTCAGCAATTAGATAAATACCAGATTCATCTACTATACTATACTGGTCTGCAATTCTGGTGCTACAGCAATTCATTTACATTCTATTCAACATTTCTTGCTGAAGAGCCATTGAAACATTAGGCTCGATATTCCAAATTTGATATTAGCTCTTTCGCCAATTAGTCTAGGATACAAAGTTTTTTTTATGTGTTTACTTTTTCTTTTTCTGCTGCTCATTAGCTACAATACAATAAACTTTTGGTAGATAGCCGAGTGACCTTTACCTGTATGAACATATTTTGGTTTGTCATATTGCGCTATTAAGCGTTTTTCTGTACATCTGATTCACCTTGATTCTTTTGAGCATTATTTTTGTCTATGCCCTTATCTGTCTTAAGGTCCATTCCGTAATCTCTCTGTGAATTCTTTGATCCATAGAACTAGGGAATTTAGTTATGACTTTTCTTCCTGAATATCTGAACGTTCTCTTCATATATCACCTATCCAAACAAATTTAATATTTAAAGATGTATTGGATGAGAACGGAGTTGACCAGTGTCAATTATGTTTCCAATGATAATGGCGTGATATTACAAAATGTCAATTCATGTCTTACACCACAGTCTTACACAAATAAAACAAACATTATAAACCACACCTATCAACTCGAAAATAGGAGTCTGATATGTGAGTTCGAAATTAAAAACTTGGGACTTTGCAAATATTTCGTAGATGGTCTGAAACGGATTATTCTTACTATTAAAAGTACTTGCTAGTTTACTTGTAACCTCAATCAAGGCGCTCTATCATGCATTCTTGAGAATCGGATTGAAAGACTGTGTTGTCGTCATAACATCCTTGCAGCTGAGAAAATGTGAAGGAAAATGGAGTCATCGTGAATGCTTTATCGCTTGAATATAACATACGTACCGTCAAAGAACAAACGCTGATTAAGGACTGCACTCTCCTAGGAATAAAATAATGCACACTGCCAATGAGATACAGAGCTTCAACCAACACCTTTAGATTTCTATCAGTCTATTACCATTTTGTCTTTCAAATTAAAAAAAAATGCTATACATAGAATTGCTATACTTATGGAAACTTTATTGGGAAAACAATCCAGGCAATAATGGCACTTCTTTGTCTTACTTCTTGTCTCCCTTTAAGCCCATAAGTTCTTCAACTTTTTGTTTTCTCTTTGGAAATATTCAATTGAGTAACTGTTCTGTGGAGAAATAATCGTTGACGCCGTTCTTAGTCAAAATATTAACTAAAAAAATTTTTCTGATGATGTACTTGACAACCATCAACGATAAACTTTTGCAACCTTGAAAAAAATTAATTTGTGTATTCTAATTCTTGGTAATAATCTTGAAAATGTTATAACCCTTTTTTTTCTTACAGAAAAATTAAAATTATCACCAATTTTTCTTATCCACGGTAATAAAGGATCGGGCAAAAACTTTTTAGTACAAGCATTAGCTGATAAACTAGGATTAAGCGTTTATAAAGACTTTGGGAACGAACTTTCTTTACCTACCTACACTCAAACTGAAACCTTAATAAAAAATACATTTCTTCGAGCAAAACTTTCCGCGCCATGTATTTTTATTCTAGACAATTTCGAAGTAGGTTTGCTCCATTTAGAATCTTCATTAAATATTAAATTTCATTTTTCTTTTAGAGTTTCGGTAAAAATTCTGAAGGCCAATTCGATTTGCGTATTGTAAACTATCTAAAAACCCAATTACAAACGCTTCAAAGTAGTTTGAATCCGGTCATTCTGATTTGTTTAAGTAATTCAAAAGATTTACAACCGGATTGTAGTCGAATCTTTTTGGAAACGTTCGATTTTGGTTCTTTAAATCAAGAAGAACGATGTAGCGTATTAGAATGGTTAATTAAAGTACAATTTGGGATTCAAAAAGATGTTGATTGTAATGATATTAGTGGAAAAACTCATGGATTTTTATTTGAAGATCTTAAAGCATTGGTTTATTATTCTTATAAAAATGCTTATGAAAAGAATCGAAACGAAATGATTTCTGATGATTTTTATAAAGCTTTGGATATTTTACAAGCAAATTACACCGAAAGTCTTGGAGCACCAAAAGTACCTAAAGTACAATGGTCCGATGTTGGTGGGTTAACTGACGTTAAAGAAGAAATTATAAAAACTATAAATCTTCCATTAAAACATCCGAAACTTTTAAAAACGTCGGGATTAAAAAGATCAGGTACTTAAAAAAGTTTTATTTTAGTTTCTTTTACTAAATTTTTGTCTAAACTTTTAAAGGAATTTTATTATATGGACCCCCTGGAACCGGAAAAACTTTAATAGCAAAAGCAGTCGCTACAGAATGTGGTTTATGTTTTTTATCAGTGAAAGGGCCCGAATTACTCAACATGTACGTTGGCCAATCAGAGCAAAACGTTAGAGAGGTTTTTGAAAGAGCTCGAGAAGCATCACCATGCATTATTTTCTTTGATGAATTAGATTCTTTGGCCCCAAATAGAGGATTATCAGGTGATTCTGGAGGCGTCATGGACCGAGTTGTATCCCAACTTTTATCCGAAATGGACGGATTAAACGAGGAAGCCACTATCTTTATTATAGGAGCTACAAACCGTCCAGATTTAATTGACCCAGCTCTTTTAAGACCTGGAAGATTCGATAAATTGTTGTATGTAGGTCCCGCACAAGATGTTCCATCAAAAACAAGCGTTTTAAAAGCTTTAACACGCAAATTTAATTTGGATGAAGACGTTAATTTGGAAAATATTGTTGAAAAATGTCCAAAGAATATTTCTGGAGCTGATTTTTATGGGTTGTGCTCTTCGGCTTGGTTGTCCGCCGTTAGAAGGTTAATTAAGAAAATTGAGGAAGGTTTGTTTATTTGATTTGTTACTATACATAAGTATATTAATTAAATTATTTGTAGGAAGGCGAAAAGTGGAAGAGTTGAGTCATGAGGATGTTATTGTTAATTCTGAAGATTTTAAAGTTGCTGCTAAAACGATAAAGCCATCAATAAGTCCTAAAGATTTAATGTATTTTGAAAAATTAAAGCTAGAGTTTAGTGCTAAGAAATGAAATTATTGAAGTGATTTAAATTAACTTTGACAATAAATTTATGACAGTTAATTGGATTTTTTTTCAGACATATTTTAAATTAATCTTTATATTAAATTAATGCATTAACAATGAAGTTTTTAAGAGATTTTATATAAATATCTCAATAAATTATATTTGCAACAATTTTTCTTAAAATTAAATTATTAAATACAGAAATCTGTTTTATCATTATCAACAACTTTAACATTTGACATATCAAAACAGCATTTCTAACCTATCTAAACTTTAATTAAATATATAAATATAATAAATTAATAATAGTAAATAAAGTTTAAATGTGAATTAACACCATGAAGTAAGTACATATTACTTACAATTAATAATAAACGAACTTAATCTCGTTTTGTTTTAATTTTTTTAGGTTAAGTGTAGATGATTTAATAGTTTACTTCCCCTATGATTACATTTATCCCGAACAATACGCTTATATGTGCGAATTAAAACGGGCTCTAGATGCAAAAGGTCACTGTCTGTTAGAAATGCCTTCTGGTACAGGGAAGACGGTAACATTACTCTCTCTGATTGTCGCTTACATGTTGGAACATCCTCATGATGTGCGTAAATTGATTTATTGCTCACGTACTGTACCGGAAATCGAAAAAGTAATTGAAGAGTTAAAAAAGTTACTTAATTATTATGAAAAACAGGATGGGGTTTATCCTAGATTGACAGGATTAGTTTTAAGTTCAAGAAAAAATATGTGTGTTCACCCAGAAGTTAGTAAAGAAAGGGAGGGAAAAATTGTTGATGGAAGATGTCATGCTTTAACAGCAAGTTATATTAGGGAGAGACATAATTATGATGATACTACACCTATTTGTGGATACTTTGAAGAGTTTAGTATTGAAGGGAAAGAAAGTATCATTCCTTATGGAGTTTATAATATAGATGATTTGAAAGATTTTGGTAGGGAAAGGGGTTGGTGTCCTTATTTTTTATCCAGATATGCTGTAGGTTTAATATACCTTTTTAATTTTTCCATACAATTTAAAAAAAATCTTGATTTTAGATTACATATGCTAATATTGTTGTATACAGTTATCACTACTTGTTAGATCCAAAAATAGCGGAAGTAGTATCAAAAGAATTAACCAGGGAATCAGTGGTGATTTTCGATGAAGCTCACAATATTGATAATGTTTGTATTGATTCAATGAGTGTTAAAATTCACAGAAGAATAATTGACAAATCTATAGCAAATATACAAGTTTTAGAAAAATCTGTCGCAAAGTAAATTTATTATTTTCTTAACTCTCATTGCAAGTAGAATTTAATTTTGTAATATTTTTAGAATGAGAGATGAAGATCAAAAAAGATTACAGGAGGAATACCAAAGACTTGTTGAAGGTCTTAGAGATGCTAGTGTTGCTAGAGAAACTGATGTAATTTTAGCAAATCCAGTATTACCAGATGATATTCTAAATGGTAAAATTTATTTGCTGAATCACAATCTTAAAATTAATGATTTATTTTACAGATGTGGTTCCTGGTAATATAAGAAACGCAGAACACTTTATAAGTTTCTTAAAAAGATTTGTAGAGTATCTAAAAACTCGTCTTCGTGTTCAACATGTAGTCCAAGAATCTCCAGCTGGATTTTTAAAAGATGTTCAAAGTAAAGTATGCATTGAACGTAAGCCATTAAAATTTTGTGCAGAGAGATTAGCTTCTCTATTGAGAACTTTAGAGATATCCGATTTAACCGATTTTAGTCCTTTGGTTCTTATAACGCATTTAGCAACGTTAGTTTCGACTTACACAAAAGGATTTACTATAATTGTTGAACCATTTGATGACAAAACTCCAACAGTATCGAATCCTATTTTACATTTTAGGTTGGTATTAAATTAATTGTTTGTAAAAAGTGTTTACTTTTATTCATTTATTTTTGTAGTTGTTTAGATTCATCAATAGCTATTAAACCAGTTTTTGATCGATTCCAAACGGTCGTTATAACTTCAGGTACACTTTCTCCACTTGATATGTACCCGAAAATTTTAAATTTTCACCCAGTTATTATGTCATCATTTACAATGACTCTTGCAAGACCTTGTTTATTACCAATGGTTTGTAAATATTTCTTACTATAGAAATAGTTTTATATGAAAATTACCATTTAATTAAAAAAGTATTTTGATTTAACTTTAACTTAACAAAACACTCTATGTATAAAATCTCTAGTAATTCACGAAACATAATTACGTTATACATATACACAGTGTCAATTAATTATCGTATCCGACGTCGTCATTGCAAGTATGCAACCAATGTCACAGTATTGGTATTGCACTACGCAAATCGCGTATTGTGTTGCATACTTGCAATGATGACGTTGGGTACGTTGATGACGATAATTAATTAACACTGTAGTTATTTTGCTTGTTGATGCTGTACTTTGAGACATGTGATTTATAATATTGTTTGTGTATAGGTATACTCTTATTACTATCGCAATATCCTCAAAAATATGCTCTGAAATAAGGAAGGTAAAAAAAAGTCTTCAATAGATGTTGGCGCGTTAGAAAAACCTATGAATAAGATTGCACATAAATTTTGAAGGGTAATCTTTGTTTGTGGTAATTAAAGTGTGTATTTTTTAAAATGAATAAGTTAATCAAGAAAACCAGAAATTTAAATGATGATCAACCAAGTACGATCAAAGCTAAACATCATGATCATGAAGATACTTTGTCTGAAGCCCCCAAAAGCAGATCTGCATTTCAAGATATACAGCGCCAAAACAACAAGCGTAAAGCTAATTGGACTTGCAAATATTGTGGCGAATATTTACGGTTTGGGTTCATTGCCAAACTAATTTGCCTCTATGTGCAGAAATAATGGAGTATATGTCTATGTGTTATTTGCAATCAGCAACTGTCAAATGAAAGTATGAAACCGTCAAGCATTTAGCCACACTTCATTCTGAGTATTCTGATAAGCCAATTAACTTTCTTGCTGATAAGAAAAAACAATTGATGGCTATTCAAAAAAAAAAAATAAAAAATGCACGGAGAACTAGCAAGTTAAAGCTAAAGCAAAAAAAGCAAATTTCTTTCCTTGCAAGTAGATGAAATGCAAAAGTTTTACGAGAAAACTTTTTGTTTTATAAAAGGCTACCGACAAGAACGACCCCATATGAGATTTTTAAGCTTACCAATGACTTTGTCCCTGGTCACGGTATTGATTGGATGAAGTGCGTTAGTCTAAGTAGCGACGGAGTACGTGCAATGACAGGCGGTCATATTTGTTTAAACAAATTCAAGAATTAGCTATTAATTATGTAACAGTGTTTGGATGCACTGTAGTATCCATAGACAAGCGTTGGTGGTAAAAGGCTTTCCTTTAAATTTAAACATAACTTTGGACTAACTACATAAAATCTCGTCCAGAGAGGAAACGTTTTAAAACGTCTATTTCAGCTAAAAGACGAAGCTTTGTTATTTCTGAATGAACACCAACTATCTAAGAAAGATGCTATTTTTCCATTTTCCTTCGATTCCTCGATTTCGAGTGGTTAATAAAAGTAGCTTATTTGTGCGATAAATTTGCTACATTCTAGTTTTCTAGGTTTACATCTAGAAACACTATCAGTTTTAATTCAAAAACATTTTTCGGGGCTAATCGCGAACAAAAAAGTTTGGGAAACGCTGTTCCAGAAGATTGAAACTTAGCTTACATCAGTTCAATCTTCAAAAAAAGAAAGGTTGTGCCAAAATTATCGAGGCATAAATGTTAGTAGGGCAGTTAGAAATGGCAACGTCTTAAAAAATAAGATTAAAATGCAGTAGACTTGTGTTGATGTTTTCGTCGTCCAACAAGTAATTGAAAAACGCAAAGCGAAGGATTTGCCACCCACTTAGTCTTCATAGATCTAGAAAAGGCCTACGATACGGTGCTCACGAATAAGTTTTTTGAGATCGTGACGAAGTCATTAGTAGGGTGAATATTCGGTCCATTTGGAACATTTATAGGGACCGTAGGAGTGTCATTAAGATTGGAAACTCGATATCTGACTCCTTTTCGACAAGCAGGGGTGCAGCCTATGTACGTTATTTAAAATATACATCCAGGAAGCGCTGAAAACATGGAGAAGACAAATCTTGAAAATGGGTATAGAAATGGATGATCAAAGTCTGACAACCCTTTTTTTTTGCTGGTGACCAAGTTGTTGTAGCAAATGAAGAATATATTGACTTTGTATTCAGGTAATTCATGGAAGAATATCGGAAGTGGGGACTTAATACCAATATGGATAACCACAATATATGATAATGAAAGAAATAATGTAAGGAGTAGCTGTTACTTTGACGTGTGTGTATGCAATTATTAATTTGGCCAAAGACATGGAAATAAAAGAAAATTTAATGTTTAATCCTCTTCTCCAACTCGAACTCTTCTTTGTTTCTCTCATCAACTGGAACTCTCCCAATTGATCCAGGACTGACTCTCCAGTTCTTCTCAACAAATATACATAACTAAAAACTTCTCTCTGAACTCTCCAAGGAACTTCTCCAAGAGAAAACTCTTGTTCTTCTTCCCGTCTAAGATTTTAAACCCTTTCGTTCCGTGCACTCTTAATCTAAACAATCGTTTCCATTGACCGAACAACTCGGACAGTCGAAAACGTTCCGCATTAAACTAAAGTAGGGGAGAAATCATATAGAAAATCTTTTTCAAAATAATAGAGCAAAAATTTGAAAATCAAAGACACCAATCAATTAATAATTTTCTTCGCTTTTCTTTCTCCACTCCATGCTTGCACGACAAATGACAATTTTATGCAAAAAACGTTTTTCTATAGAAAGCCTTTCTATGAAAGCATTTTCTATGGCAAAAGTAAAATGCGCACCCACAGTTGGTTTGCAAAAAAAAACTTCCCTTTCTTCTTCAAAACAAGTTCGAAGCAATTAAGAAATGCGAACTCATATTGCTTATTGATCAACATTCATTCACACCTTTGAACCCAACGTACAGAGTTTTCTGAAGCTTAACTTCTTTCTGATGATTGAGTAAATACTTCCATAGTTGACACCAAATTCTTCCGAAATTTTAACCGAACCCGCGATTCGCTACAATAACATGAGTGATCCTCAACTACAAATAAACAATAAAATAGAAAGGTGCAAGAAATATAGATATTTGGACAGCAAAATTTCCGAAAAAGGAACATCTGGTACAAATATCCAGAACAGGGTGCAACAAGGTCGAAAAAGTGTTTGTATGCTAAATTTTTTATTGTGATCAAATGAAATGAAGCTAAATTGGATATGTACCTCAACATAGAAGAAGGGGAAGTAGACGAAATATATCCTGGATTCACGGGATCAGACAGACTATGACTGATCGAGTCTTTCCAGAAGAGGGATGGAGGAATAGAAATGGCGATCGGAATGCGGGATGCGGCAGAGGCTGTAAGAACTCCACGATACTCCTCCCTTTTTATATAAATAAAATTTATTTTACAGGAAACAGCTACATTTCTACAAAGTATTAATACATTTCTACAAATTATTTCTATATAATTTCCTTCTTTTATGATACATTTTTCCCAACGTTATAGTAATTTGTTCATTCCGTTCTCGTAAAATGAAGTTGGACGCGTATTTAACCAGTTGTGCATTTGATCGTTGATCTCAAATCGCTTGGCTCCAAGTGCTTCTTTGAGAGGTCCAAACGATGTGAAAATCGCATGATGATAAGTCTAGACTGTATTTTTTGCGTCGATACTGGTTGCGTTGATGGCCTAACGTCCGTGTAAAAAATCTACCAATAGCATACCCACTTTTTGAGACTAGAGCAAAGAACTGTGACCAACAATTTACCCGCAAACAATCGAGTTTTGGCTTTTATGGAGATTTCTTCGCTTTTCTTTTTCCACTCCATGCTTACTCGACAAATGTCAATTTTATGCAAAAAACCTTCTGCCATGGAAAACTTTTCTATGAAAGCATTTGCATTCTTACAGTTGGTTTGCAAAAAAAAATCCCTTCTTCAAAACAAGTTCGAAACCATTAAGAAATGCGAACTCGTGCTGCTTTTTGGTCATCATTCAGCAACCTTGGAATCCAACATGCTGGGATTTTTCTGAACCTCAACTTCGTTCTGATGATTAATTGAACACTTCTATAGCTGACTAGCTAACGAAATTTTAAGTACTGAGAACTCAATCTGCTGCTAGGGCGATGGAGATGCGCTTGATTTACAACACGTTCATGGATTTACTTCAATTCGTTGCACCAAACCAACTTTTAACCATGAAAGGGCAGCTTCCCCGAACTGGGCATACAATCTGCGGTAAATTTCGGCTGGTTCCACGAACCCGAAAATGAGATTTTTTTTTAAATTGAGAATCCCTTTTAAACCTTATTAGCTCACCAGTATATAAGTTTTCATAAGTAATCATTAACCTCACCCCATCTAAAGATCGTAAAAGATAATGAATGCATTAAATTTTATAGTAATTGATATAAATGGTAAATTTTATATAAAACTTTACTTAAAATTAAAAATTTAATTTCAATTAGTAGTTTACGTTTGTTTACTCCGTAGATAGTTTCAAAAGGAAACGATCAAGTGGCGATATCCTCAAAGTTTGAAACTCGTGAAGATATCGCAGTAATTAGAAATTACGGTCAACTTCTCGTAGAGGTTGCCACAAACGTCCCCGATGGTGTAGTTTGCTTTTTTACTTCTTATTTATACTTGGAATCGGTCGTAGCAAGTTGGTACGATCAAGGTGTAATCGACAATTTACAAAAACATAAATTACTTTTTATCGAAACTCAAGATTCGGCTGAAACTAGTTTCGCCCTTATGTATTATATCAAGGTAAAAAGCAATCTAAACGTATTTTTAATTAAAATGAATTACTTTTGAATTATTTTAAGGCTTGTGAATCAGGTAGGGGAGCAGTTTTATTATCGGTAGCTCGAGGAAAAGTATCCGAAGGAGTTGATTTTGATCATCATTTAGGACGAGCGGTTTTAATGTTTGGAATTCCATACGTTTACACTCAATCGAGAATCTTAAAAGCTCGCTTAGATTATTTAAGAGACCAATTCCAGGTAAAACAAATTTAATTTAATCCAAATCTTTTATAATTAAATTTATTCTCAACATTTTTAGATAAGAGAAAACGATTTTTTAACGTTTGATGCAATGAGACACGCCGCGCAGTGCGTTGGTCGTGCTATTCGTGGAAAAACCGATTACGGTATCATGATATTTGCAGATAAAAGATTTTCCAGGTCAGATAAAAGATCGAAACTGCCGAAATGGATTCAGGAGCATTTAAAAGATTCGTTGTGTAACCTTTCAACCGAAGAAGCAATTCAAATTGCCAAAAGATGGTTAAGACAAATGGCTCAACCTTTTACTAGAGAGGATCAACTTGGAGTTTCACTTTTAACATTGGAACAGTTGGAAAGCATGGAAGCAAGTAAAATCGAGAAGCAAGCACAACAAAATTAATTGTCATAAACTTGTGAATTGAATTAAATGAAAGAATGTTTAGTATTAATAAATATTTTTTAAGTACTTGGTGTAAAGTTGAGTAAACATACTGTATAAGGTTATCCAACTCCCAAAGGCCTTACTGTGACGTCATTGGAAGAATTGGCATTTCTGTCTTTATTTATAGAGTGAATTTCGCTTAAGATGCAATACACAAAAATATATTTTCATAGAAACGAGAGCATACCTACTTACTTTGTCCATGTCCAAGGACAGTAGAATCAAACAGGACTGCTACATCCATTGTTGTTTTGTAGCCAATGGGTTGGTTGCGCGTACTCTACGTTACAATTTGCCACGCCCAGTTTGCTGTCATTTGTTCTATGCATTTGCTGCTTTTTAATTTACTTTTGAAGTGTATATGAATACGTCTACGATATATGATATAACCTCTAAAAATACACAGCAAACGTATAGAACACCACAACAGCTGACTAGGCGTGGCAAATGGTGTGACGTAGTGAGCGGGCACGTAGTCACAACAATGGATATAGCAGTCCTGTTAGATTCTACTGTCCGTGGTCCATGTCAATATAATTTGACATTACAATATCAACCTCGATATAACGATCAGTACGAGGAACGCAGTGTCCGTTACAGCACAATAAAAATAGACAACAATTTAGCGCTGAATAACAAATAAAACTAGACTAACACTAGAAACATTCCGTTTAGCCGTACTTCTCTAAGACGACTGGTAGGTGATAGATGGCGATAGTTAACATAAAATATCACTATGCTGCATATTTTTATTAAACTAAAACTAGAACTAACACAAAACAACTAAACATTCGGGTTTAGCCGCACATCTCTAAAGTCGGCTAAATCTGAATGTTTCTAGTTCTAGGTCTGATGTTAGTTCTAGTGACAGTGGTAGGTAGCGCTAGTTAGCATAAGAAATCACTGTTGCATATTTTTATTGCACTAAAACTAGAACTAACACTAGACCTAGCACTAGAATCATTAGGGTTTAGCCGTCTTTAGAAACGTGCGGCTAAACCCAAATGATTCTAGTTATAGGTATAGTATTAGCTCTACATAGTAACAGTGCTAGTGTAAAACTAGAACTAGAAACATTCGTGTGTCTGAAGACTAGCCGGGCGTCTTCAGACCCAACCCGAAACTTTCTAGGTCTAGTGTTAGTTCTAATTTTAATTGTTATGCACCGCTAGATTGTTGTATATTTTTATTGAACTAAAAGTAGAACTAACACTAGACCAACAACTAGAATCATGCGGCTTTAGCCGTGTTATGAGACGCACGGCTAAACCCGAATGTTTCTAGTTCTACTTATAAAGTTACTTCTAGTGACAGTGCAAGTATAAAATTAGAACTAACACTAGACTTAGAACTAGAGTCATTCGGGTTTAGCCATCTTTAGAGGCGTGCGGCTAAACCCAAATGATTCTAGTTCTAGGTATTGTGTTAGTTCAACATAGTAACAGTGCAAGTGTAAAACTAGAACTAACACTATACCTAGAACTAGAATCATTCGGGTTTAGCCGTCATTTGATATGTGCGGCTAAACCCAAATGATTCTAATTCTAGGTATAGTGTTAGTTCTATGTAGTAACAGTGCTGGTGTAAAACTAGAACTAACATTATATCTTGGACTAGAATCATGCGAGTGTAGCCGTCTTTAGAGACATGCGATTCTAGTTGTAGGTATAGTGTTAGTTCTAGTTTTACACTAGCAATGTTACTATGTAGAACTAACACTACATAGAACTAAAATCATTTCGGTTTACCCGTCTTTAGAAACGCACGACTAAACTCGAAACTTTTTAAGTCTAGTGTTAGTTCTAGTTTTAATTGCTATGTAGCGCTAGATTGTGGTATGTGGTATATTATTATTGAACTAAAACTAGAATTAACACTAGACCAACAACTACAATCATTCGGGTTTAGCCGTGCGTCTCTTTAGACGGAAACTCAGAGTTATCATAAGGACGTCACTTTTTCCAAGCAAATCTTTTCCTTGACAAAACTACCCAATGCCTGTACAATTAAGGTATGTTGCATTTTATGTGGCACAGTGCAAGTGCATAGTAGTTTCGTAACTATGGTTACTGTATTCTAGTAATGTGCCCTATTATGAGCTGAACCCTATTGAGGCTGGGCGGTGGCTCAGCGGTTAAACTCTCGGGTTGACACGCAGACGTTCCGGGTTCGTGCCCCGGTTTAAACATATTCACCAAGCCGCCCACCCGTCCTTCGGAGGGGACGTTAAGCCGTCGGTCCCGGCAACCAGTCGTACACCTCTGGTTGTCGTTATCACCCATGTGTGTAAGGGGTTTGAACACATGGCTGAATGCGCGTTAGCGTTCTTGAAGCCACACCTCGTGAGAGCGTACCCGGCCAAGGGTTGATGAGCAGCTTTGCTCCACCTTGGTACGGAGGGGCCAGCGAGTGAGTGGCATCAATGAGCGGCACCTGACAGGGGCGAACCCGCACTGGGCCTGTGCCGTAGCACGCCCGGTGAGGGGGTCGGTCAGGAAGCGGAATCAGCCAGAAATCGAGTTAAGCTCGCGTTTATCATCTCAGACCTCTTAGAGGAGGATGTACAAGGGGCCCGTTGGGGCCTAGGTGCCGCGTATAGTATACGCACTCCCCGTAACATACATACATACATACATGAGCTGAACTTATTTTTCAAATTTCATTTTGCTGGTGTTTGGCTTTCGAGAAAAAAAATTAAACCAAAATATTCCGCCGTTTTTGATGGAGCGTAGCTCCCCAGGGGAGTCGAAGTCGCTCATAGTTCATATGTGGTTCATATAATATACCTTGGGTGTAAAAAGTACTTTTTTATAATTCGCGACTGTAATGAAAGCTATTACAGTACTGAAATGGGTGCTGTAATGAGACTCCTTACAGCATCCGATGCTGTAATGAGATTTTAATAACGTTTTATGGAATCAGTTCAAGTTGGTGACATTGGGTCATTAATTTTTCTAGTTGCCAATGTGACAATGTTTGTCATTGGATGTTTAAACATGTTTTTAGCATTGAATACGAGCAATTTCTCAATTTTAGGAGGTGTACATGAAACATTTTTTCAGGTGAATACATTTTGTGTTTTGACAATTTCTAATTGTCAATTCAAATTTCTATTTTCAAGTGTTACCAACTGCTTCATACCTATTTCCCTACATTGTTAAAATGTATTTCATTTTTGTTAAAAAAAAGGATAAAAACGCGAATTACAAAAAATAGCATAAAAACACGTTTCATAAGACTTAAAGCACTCATTCATTAAAAAACTCGTGGTTTTGCCACTCGTTTTCAACTTTAATTTGTGCATTTGAAGCGTATCTTACGAAACTAGTTTTTTAATATACTGTCTGGTTTATATATAAAAGCTCCAACCACAAAATAACTGTTTTGAATTACTATGTGGCTCCAATTAACGTTCCGACTGGTTGGTAATCCCTCAGATGCAATTACCTATGGCAATTACACCTGTCAAATAATGCCGCACATTTGAATATCACTGCATCATATGACATGTGAGATTGTATCTGACAACAATCTGAAACAAAGCTATAATGTCAATTATAATCTAATTATAATCTAATCATACTATTATTACTTTATTAAATTATTATACTCTTACCGAAAAATCACTTTAAAATGACGTTTTGATCTGTCATTCTGAACAAACTTCAACTTTATAATTTTAAAAGTTGAAGTTAGCGGCAAATTTAAAAATATAACATGAATTGGAATCTGTACTTTTTAAATTAAAAGAATGATACTGGTAATAATTGTTATTACCACTATCATCATTACCACTATTAATAATAAAATTGTTAGTTTAATTAAATTATTTCAGTTTAGACGCTAATGCCATCTTACGGTGAGATTTCGACATACAATCAGTCCCAAGATCTCCTATCAAAGATCCCTGGGGCTGATACCGCTGATACTATCGACTGCTTTTGACATGGGATATGTTCATTTATAGATTTTGCTTTATAATAAGAAAAACATTAATTTTTTATTTTAATTTATCAAACTTTAAAGACATGGAAATACCTGTATTATCATCATTTTTTCATGTTTGAATACGTTCTTAAATTAAGAAACACGTGTGTTTGTTTTGATGTTTATAGGTTATGTATTCTAACCTCAAACTTTAGAGTTAATTAATAGAGTTAAAACGTTTATTTTTTTTATAATTTTCATCAATAAAATAGAATAAAAGTGCTTTTAAAAGATGGTACAGGTTCATTATGCTAGATTTTATAAACCTAAAACAAAAGGAATTAATTGTATGACTCTTTCCAATTCAAAATTGGCCCTTTCCAGGTAATTTTTTTTTTTAATTTGGATATATATTTTATATTTAATAATTAATTAATTTTAGATCAGATAATTCAATCGAAATATGGAACATTGCAAACACACCATTTATAGAAATAATAATCCCTTACACATTAGAACAACATATTCAAGGATTAATTTGGGTTAAAACTCGTTTATTTAGTTGTGATTTACAAGGTTTTTTAAATGAGTATGATTTAAACCTGCTGGAAATCAAATCTAAGCTTTCCGTAACAGGAGAAGCAGCTTATTGTCTTGACACAGACACATCAAATCAACACATTGCTGTTGGAACAGACCAAGGATACATAAACATTTTTTCAATATCTGAAGAAAATGAAGTCCTCTTCAAAAAATTCCTCGATAAACAAGAAGGAAAAATTTTATGTTTAAAATACGACACCACGGGAAATTTTATTGTTACCGGAAGTATCGATGTTATAAGAATTTTTGATGTAAATCATGGTCACGCTTTACATAAAATGTCTACAGGTCGATCAGAAAAAAATAAACCCACCATAACTTGGTGTTTAAATGTCTTAAGCGAGTTTGTAATTATAACAGGCGACTCAAGGGGAAAATTAACATTTTGGGATGGAAAAATCGGTGCTCAAATTGAAACCTATCAATCGCATAAAGCTGATATATTGAGTATCTGTGTATCTGAAAACGAAGATACAATTTTTTGTGCAGGTGTTGATCCGATTATTTCAAGTTTCGCGAAAGTTAATGTTAAAGATGGTTGTAAATGGGTTAAAAACATTCAAAGACGAGTTCATGACCACGACGTTAAAGCTTTAATCCAACATAAAAATAAATTGTATTCTGGTGGTGTTGATGGTTATTTAGGTCTTAGTTATCATCCTCCAAAAACGTTGGTTAAATATCCATCGCTATATAACGATTCCGTTTCATTGAGTGAAACTAAAATGATGCTGTTACGTTATTCTAATTATTTGGAAGTTTGGAAATTGGGTGAATCAGAAGGTGAGGTTGGTTTTAATCAAATGTATCGGATCAAGAATGTACCCAAAAAAATCGCTGTGATTGAGAGACAAATTAAAGATTCTCAAGGAAATAAAGAGAGAGAATTTATATTGTGTTGTGCAATTTCAAAAGATGGGAGATGGATTTGTTATAGCACAATATCATGTGTTAATCTTTTAGAGTTAGAATATGTAGATGAAAAATTAAAACTTTCATCAACTAAATTAAATGATTTATGTGAATCTTGTACTCGACTTGGATTTACTCAATTTAATGAATTAATTTTGATTACGACAGAAAAAGTCTTAATCATCTATGATTTAGAGACTAAATCATTGAAAAATAAATTTGAAACAATACCACGTAAATTCTATTATTTTTATAAATTTTTAATGTTTGTGTTGAAAATGATTTCATTTTAGATATAACTAATAATGTATTATTATTAACAATTTCTCAAGAATATTTTTCAATCAGCGACATAACTGGAAACGCAGTTGTTTTTAAAAAGGATAATAAATTATGGAAATTTTATTGGGCATTACCTAAATATTCATGTCCCATTATATCAATGGCAATTGGTCCTAAAAGTAATTTGATTGTAGCGTATTCAGATAACCAACTATCTGCATATGAGCTTTGTAATAAGAAAATTATGACAATTTTTAAATCATTTAATTCTACAAGTTTGGATCATTATAGAAATAAACATTTGCCAATTAGAAATATAACATTTGATTTAAGTAATGATAACATTATTATTTTACATGATGATGTAACAATTGTTGTAATAAATAAAGATAAGGTAAATAAACGATTATTAAATTAAATTATATGTAAATAAAGTAAATCAAATTTGTTTCTAGATTCCAAGTGATGAATCTAAACCGAAAATAGCTAAATTGGATAAGGTTTTGTCAGGAAATAAAACTGGAATAAGAACAATAAATGGCCATCAGGTAAGTTTTTAAATTATTAATGTTTGTAGAAATTTATTTTTGATTTTTATTGTTCATTATTGTTGTAGCATCTTCTATATTTAGAACAAATTTCTAAGAAAGAGTGTGTTGCTGTTGAAGTAAATCCAATTTCTTTTCTAAGTGAGCTTCCACCTTGTTTGAAACAAACACTTTTTGGTAAAAAATGATGAATACTTGTTCTAATTTCTTTGTTTTAACAATAAATTAAAATTAAACTATGAAACTAAAATATATTTTTCATGAAACCGTCATGTAATGCAATTGCAAGGTTGTTTTTATAAAAGAAAGTTGATTATTTTTGCCTTCAACTTTTTCCTATCCTAAAGCCTAGTGTAAATTTTTTCTTTTTCCTCTTTAGTTAAGACTATGTCTTGCTTTTTTTGCTTCATCAGGCCTCTTGGGATGCTAAAGTCCTGCATTCGTGACAGCTTTTCTACGATCGTCCCTCGAATCGTCAGATCGAACTTGGTCTCTCCAACAACTGCGCCTCGCGTCAGATACTTTCAGTTCATCCCGTATGGCTGAGCTTCTTATCTGATCCGACCTCAGTGGTAGATGCGGACTTTGCTCTCCTTGGACATTTATTTGTGGCTCCATATGATGTCTCTTAGATATCCAGATATTCTGGAGCCTTTGTTGACTTGTGCTCTAACTTCTTGCAAATTCGAAAACAGTGCAAGCTCTGTCTAACGGGGCGACAATTTACTGTTAATTTGCTCCTGACAGACTTTCGATGTCATCATTGCTTCAGTCTTCTCCTAGAATATCTTTATGTTTAGTCCTTTCGTTTTCTGGTTTAGATTCGCTATAACATTCGCTGCAACAGTAAAGGTTTATTGAATTCTATGGCTTTTTCGATAACGGATCGGACTATGAATCAATTGTAGATCTGTTTTGTCTGAAACCACACTGTTCTTCCCTAATCCTTACCCTCACCTCATGGATACCTTCGACGTGATAATTTTTGTTAGTAGCTTGCTTGTGCTGTTTAATAGAGTTGTGCTGTTAATGTGGTCAAGGCCTTTTCCAGATCCGGCTCCATGCTTTAGGCTTCCTCGACTTCTTCGACCGACATCTGTTCTTGTTCTTCTTGGTCTTCTTGTTGTAAGTCCTCCCTGTTATCCCGTTGACTACCATTTAATGTTCGCATGTATGCTAACTATTCCTCGGGGGTTACGGAGTTGATTGTTCTTGATTGTTGTTGACCTGTTCGTTAACTTTCTTAGTACATGCCATATCCTCTTTTACCCTCCGTGCTAGTCCATGTCCGTCTTCCATCTCCACTAAAAACCAACCTCTCCCAGTACGTTTCTTTCAGATCCTGAAACACTCCATTAACCCTGTTTCTACCGGTTTTGTAGATAGGTCTCTCTCTTTTCTTTAGCCAATGTCTTTACCTCTTCAGTGAACGAAGGTTTATTGCCATTTATTTTCACCTTCCTGGTTCCGAGTGCTTCTTTTGACTTTCGGTTATGCTTGACCTAATCTTATTCCATATAGCGTTTTGGTTATCGTTTTCTGTAATTGGGTTTAGAAGTAGTCTGTTCTGCTATAGCATCTTGGTTATATTGCACATTTCTACATGAATTGATTGTCGAGCTGAAATTGCGTGTATTACCAAAGGTAAACTTGTGCAGCTGTTTATGATCAAAAAACGTATTATTGATCCGTAGCTCATTTTGGGAGCATGTACTTATCAGCATTTCTCTGTTGTTGTTAATGGGATAGGAGTATTTCCAATTTGAGAATTAAATTCATCCATAAGCAGCGTTTTTGATTTTCTCAGGTAGTCCGTCTAGTACATCTTGAAGGTTCCTAAAGAATATAGTTCGCTCTTCCTTTTACTTTGTTATTTCTGGAGTGTACACATTCACGTAATTTGTTCTCTCTCCATCGATCTTCGGTTGAGGTGCATGATATTATTGTTTACAAATAGTACCTATTCGATGTAACCCTCGCATTTCTCATGCTCCATGTAATTTGTTTGAAATTTGAATTAAAAAAATAAACTCACGGAAGGTCAGGTGAAATGGAAGTTAATGCAATTATATAAATATTTTTGAGCTCAGAAGAAAAGAAGACGAAAATTCCAAAACGTTCAAAGCAATTTTAGAAAAAAATCCGTACGGAAATGAATGTATATATTCAGTATGTAATTATCATGTATACATTCTTATATCCGAAATATAAGAAAACACAAACTTGGCGAGAAACGAAAATTGATAGATTGTCTAATAAGAAAATTGACTACATATTATGGTCTGGCTATTCGCAGAAATATCAGTCCAGAGAATATGAAAAAAGTGATAATGGCCACTTATTATCACATATACCCTACAGACGAATTATCAGTGCTGTTCGCTAGAAGCTGAGAGTTGATGTGAATGGCAAAAAGCTAAAGCTTCTGATCGGATCACTTAGTGAAGCATCCTCTACCACTTCATCCAGATATACAAAACATGTGCTGCCAAAGTGAACTTGTTTCTGAAGAAAGTTGCAACATTCTTAACCAGTTAAGCAGTTAAATAGCATGCATAAGTGCAAATGTAACCAACGCAGTTGTGTATACAAATAACTTGCAAGAACTGAGATGTGCCATATGTAGATGACCAAAAAGATGTTACTACTTACATGGGATTGACTTTTATTTCAATAACATACACTATGTACACGAGTCCAAATGATGCTATAGAACTAACAAATAAATTCTGTCGTCATATATAAGGCATTTCAGAGAGTATAGTGCGAACGATCGATGTTATGCGTTGTTTTGGGTCATTATGTCAATAGGTTTTGTAACGTATATGCGTTTTGCACCATTTCTCATAGTCTAAAGTCACAATTTTAGTGAGCGTTAAGTTACAGTTTCACCATTAAAAAGATATGAACCAGGTACTCCAAATATCGCAATACCACACTATTCATTTACTTTTGAAGAGAATCCAGCGAGCTTAGTTTATGGGGATTTTCTGTACTTCAAAAGACTTGCCAAAGCTTATTCACATTGCCAATGATATGGAATATGGTTCCATCTGACATAAAAGAAACACAGCAGTAGTGTGTACATTTGACATTTCTAATAACACTTCTGCAGCTTGTATACAAGCAATTTTATCAGCAGTAGAAAGTGTTTGTATTATTTGAATGTGGTATGGACTTGTAATCATTGCGTCTTGATCCGTTATGATTATTATTATTTTTTGATCGAATTCTTCTGGGATATCCTTTGCAGTCATTGATCACAGACTCTGTTATGACTCTATTATGTTTTAGTTTATAACTTATTCTTACTAAACCACTCTAGTTAATGTTATTTTAAATGTTTGGATAAATGCTCTTAAATTCTAAAAATAAAATACAAATGGAAAACAATAATAATTATATTTTGTTAGACTGATTATTTACAAACATGTTAAAACTTATTGCTACCCTCTCGTTTTATCCCTATTTTTAAAAATTATTCCATTTTACATAACATGATAATACCAGATCAATACTATACAAGGTTCAAATTAGAATAGTTTTCTTTACATTTTGCATAAAAAAACTAAACGAAATCTTATTTATGAAATTAAATCAGATAAGTTAATTCATTCCATTAGTAATTCAAAACATGTTGAATTCATGGAATATGTAATTTTATGTATACATCATTTTTATAAGTAACATTTATAACAAAATAATTCTTAAAAAAAACATACAAGTTACCAAATTATTGCTATATAATGGCCATCTTCAAAAAAAAATCACAAGAAAAAAAGACAAAAAGTGAATAGATTTTATAAACACTTATACATTATTAACAATGAAATATTTTCTATTCTTATTTTTTATGTCTTACTGAATTAATGAATTTGTATCCAAAAATTATTATTGGCACTACTTTTCCATTTGATGATTTTCAGCTACAGTAATATTAGTAATCGAATTATCCGAACTGGGACTAAAAACCCACTGTTTAAAACTAGTTTCCGTATTTCCATTTGATGACAATTGTATAATACTGCTTCCTTCTTGATTTTCACTTTTACGTGGAGGTACAGGTGGTCGATTACTGTATGTAGGTAAACCAGACGGTATTTTAGAACTTCTTATCGACGTAACCGTCACGTTTTTACTGGGATTTTTCGGCTGTTGATATTTCCCAGACGTCATTATTTCAATAATCTCTTTATCCATTTCAAATTCGTTTTTCGAATCGCGTCGTTCCGGCGACGTCGGGGGAGTTTTAGTCGTAGCGATTGGAATTCGCGATTTAATTGGAGTTTCCGGTTTCGCCAACGTTTTCGGCGGACTTCTTTCAAAGTTCGATCGTAAAATTTCAATTTGCGACTGACGTTTTTCGGGGATTTTTAACGGTTCATAACTGGACGTTGAAAATCTCATTTCAGGTAATTTTTTCAGTTGTTCTTCGGCGATTTCTTGTATTTTATGTAATTCTTTTTCAGCGTCAATTTTTTCAAACGGAGTTGGCGATTTCATTTCAGGAATACTTTCAGTCGAGATTGATTTCGTTTCTAAAGTTTTCGATTCAAAATTTTTTACGAAATTTTCAAAATCGTTATCGAGATTTTTCGTTTTTTGTACAACTTCGACTTCAGATACGTTTTTGTTATGGTTCGGTGTTATTACTTGAATTTCGGTTATATAAGTTAAACTGTTATTTTGTTTTTGATCTTGATGGTGATCATCTTTATGTAAATTTCCGTTACTTAAACTTGAAAAATGTAAATCTTCGCACATTATATTCGATTTATTTGTGATTGGTTCATTTACATCCGGTGATTTTATTTCGAACGTTAACGATGTTGGTCCTTCGATTGTAACTTCGTTTAAATCATGAATAGCTTCTGCTATACTTACATTTTTAATCAAATCAGGTGTTGATACTAAAATTTTATCGTCAGTCTTATAAAGTTTATTATCTTTTATTGTTGTGGATGAGGTTGTTTGTTGTGGAAATATTTCGTAATGAGGTTTCTTTTCGGAATATCGATCCGAAATTGTTATATTACTTACATTCTCGTTTAAATGTGGTTTAACTGGGATTTCATTTGGTTTTATTATCTTATCATTGCTTAACGAATGTCTAGAAACTTTGATATCATCAGAAACATTTGTATCTTCTAGATTATTGTGAAGATAATCTTTTCTTTCAGCTATTAAAAAATCCGTTGAAGCGTTACTTAAATTATTTGTTTGTTTTTGATTTATATTTGGTTGATTTTTATCATCCTCAAAGTTTAAACTTGACACAGCGTTTAATACGTCAGTTACAAAAGAAGAATTTTTATTAATGTTAACATTAATATTAGGATCTTCAATTTCAACTTCGTAAATTTCATTTTTATCGATAATTTCGTCGTTATCATTCTTCTTTTCAAAAATTTCATATTTTACATCATCGATAACTGGTTTTTCTTTAAACGATTCCATTGCTTTAGTTAAAGTTTCACTTGCTTCATTCCAGCTTGCTCTCATCTCTTTTTCTTGTTCTTCAATATTTTTCGTTGTTTCCTCTTTAATTTCTTTGATTTTGTTTACTAAAGCATCTAATTCAGGTGTGGTTCTGTCAAAGCTACTGTCATTCGATTCATTATCAAACATTCTTTCGCCGGTTTCGCAATTTTCAGAACTATCGCTTTTATTAAGATTTAAAATAGCATCTTCTAAGTTACCCCATTCAGTTGATTTTTTCAACCGATTTCTTTGAAATGTATTTAAACCGTCGAGAATTAATGATAATCTCGGTTCTTTATTGATTAAGGTGTTTCGATACAGACTATCATTAGAGCTTCCAATTGAATCAAAATTTTCTTCAAATTGCCCGGGAGCTTTTCGTTTTTTTCCTAAAGCTGGAATTCCGGTGTCGGTTATATCTAAACTTTGTGCTCTTTCTAAAGTCCCCGTGTTACTTTTTATTCTTTGTATTTTTGATAAATCACCTGTACTGGCGGTTCTCCGATTTTGTTTATCTTCGCCATCTTCAGTTTGATGAATTGTAATATCATTTGAGTTTAATTCTATTGTATTAACCGATGATTGATTATCGGTTTCTTGGTCTGAATCTGATTCGTATTGTCTAATTTCAGGCTTTATCATATTCATAGGTATATCTTGAATAATTTCGGGTGTTTTTATTGGGGGAATTTCATTTTCCGCGGTATAAATTTCGTCTAAATTTTGATGAAGCTTTTCTTGATTTTCTTTTTGAAGTTCTGGAGGGGGAGGAGCTTTACCTTTTTGTTTCTTAACTTTTTCCTCCAAATTTTCTTGTGAGGACGTCCTATTTCTTCTCGCAGCTAAAGCTGCGTTATACATGTGACTTGGAATTTCTTGCGGGATTCCATTTTCATCACGTTTAATCCCGGAACCCGTTAAACTCCCCCCTCTTTTAAAATGTTCATCAAATGATTCAGGTTTTTTCTCTCTTTTCTTAACAGGAGGAGCACTTTTCTTATCAACCTCATCGAAACTTTTTACTTCTTTTACTTCTTTCGGGTCGGATAATTCAATATTAATATTATTATCATTTTGAGATAATTCGGCGATTTTAGGACTTTTTTGTTCTTTATTTTCGATTGGGAATACTTTAATACCAAATTTTTGATAACTAGAGTCAGTTTTTTGAGTTTCCGATTCAACTTTTTGTTGCGTTTTGTCAAAATTTTGTTTGTTTTTAAGTGTTTCTTTGTGATCTTCTAAAATTGTTTTTTCTAATTGACTTTTGAGCTGTTCCGGAGTTAACGCGTTCTTAATCGTTTTCTTTTGTGGTGTTTTTTGCACGGGCGAATCACTTTGTGTTCTCTCCAACGTTGTGGCATTACTTCGAGTTTTTTGGAGACTGGAATAATTTGAGTCAAGTGATTCATTTAATTCTTCAGCTTGGAAAAGACGTTTTTTAGCGGATCTATTAATCTAAAAAGTAAAATTTGAAAAATAAATCAAAAATTTATCAAAAAAAAGTAAACGTACTTGTAATAAATCTGTACTTGATGCGCTCTTATACAAAGGATGTACAGGTCGAGCACATTGGGTTGTTCCAGCACTTAATTTGCCGTTAGTAGCTTGAACAACAACTTCATATGGACTTGCGTAACTCAAAATAGTTAAAGCATCTTCGTATACCATATGCTCAAAGTTTATGGTTACACTTGTTATTCTATCTCCTAAAAAAATCGTTATACCATCGTTTATTTTAATCATTTAATTACTTACCTGGATTTAATTTTCCAGATTCTGAAGCTGGTCCATGTTGGAGAACATCTTTAATAAAAATACCATTTCTCATATTGCCACAAATATTAAAACCAAGTCCGGTAAAATCATGACTTCTCAATGAGACAACTTTGATTTCATTTTCTCCTATTGCGGAGTCGTCTACGGTTTTTTTCTTTTCGGATTTGCTGGTGAGGGCGCTTAACGGTGCCCAATTGGCCCATTTTGGTTTGTTAGACGATTCTGCGGTTGGTTTTTCGATTATTTTTCCCAACGGTGATAATCCTGGTTCTATAAAGATTAAATTAATGCTAATAAATACGGTAAACTAGAAAATTAGTGATATTATTAAAAAATTTTAAAACATTTATTTTATAGTAAAATGTTTATATTTATTTACGTCTCCTTCAACGGAAAAATATTGTAAATTGACACAATAGAAGACCTTGAACGTAAAATAATTGGTTTTATTACGATGGATGATAATTTAAATGTTAGAACATAACAAACGATAATAAGCAATAATAATCTATTTTTAAATTTTATTACATATTGACTCATAGTACCTATTTTGAAACTAAAACTTCTATTCATAATTCTATAACACAAATTTTTCATTTTCTACATACAAAATCGCCAGAAATATCAAGTGTGGAAGAGTATTGCTTTGCACCATGTATTATTTTCTAATGGTATGTCGGGGGTGCTCTTAGGCTCAGCGGTTTTTGCAAATACCCTTACCAAGCCAAATTTTATAGAACAGCCTGGCCATGGGAGTTTCAAAGGGACAAGTTGCCGTGACATTGATTACGGCGCTTCTGAATCAAGAATACTACGTTCTTTCATAATTATTATACGTCACTATACTAGCTAATTATTTAGTAACAAACTCATTCAGACAAAAAACTTAAAAAAGGTGATTTAGCTGCTCAAAAAGGAAAAGTTATGATGCTGATGTGACAAAATACTACTGTCCACAATTCTGAAAGAGCAATAAGCAAAACAGATAAAGACGGTAATATAATTTTAATTCCAAAAGTTGAGATAGTTTATAATGAAACGATGTTTGGATCAACGTTTACATGACTATCTCATTACCAGTAAGAGAGGAAACATGTACTATAAAAAATATTTTTCCATTTGTTGGATATTTGCATTTCCCTGGTTTTCAGTTTCCACTAAATAGTATGGCAATAAAATACAAACCGGAGGAGGCATATCGGAGGAGTTGATTAATCGACATTTTTTCGTATTAAGCTAGACTAATTAACTCAAAAACAATTCATTTATAAATTTACCATTATTTTCAGTTACCATTGAAAAGAGGAATATTTCAATATCAGAAACAAGAGTTTGTACTACATCGGAGAAGTTATTTACCTGTTAAGTTGAGTTGCATTAATCGAATATGGGAAACACACGCGGTCCATGAAGCTGTATAATTAATGTTTGTGAACTTTGACATAAAGCAACTGCGTATGAGGTCTAGGTTTGGATGAGACAAGTTTCGTTAATAAATTTATGCACCTACAACACTAACTCAGCGTTAGTCCTAAAGGTATTAATCCTTAGGGTATTTCGTTTATACCGTATGTTCGTATATCTACCAAAATATATTGGAGATATATAAGTTTTTAATGAAAATTGAAGAGTTTTAGAAAAACTCTAATTGTCAGCTGTTTTATGTCAGCTGTCTTATGTCAGCTGTTTCTAATCGATATTACCCATAGAAATATTTATCACATTTGGCGTTCGGCAGTACACGTCCATGTTTTTTACACATCCTACATATCATTATTAATCTTGCCCAGAAGCGCAATGTAATGTGCAGATTCACAAGAATCATCAGGGAGTAGTTTGTTGGTGTTTTAAATATATTCCGTAATTTTTTCGAGGACTATACTAATATTTAGCGAAAGTTTATAAAAGATCTTTACCTCTTCAAGAGTTTTTGACAGAAGACATCCATAGTCACACAAGTGATAATAATACTCAATGATGTCGTATTTACCACAATAACAGTTACCGGGCTCTGCTTGTACTTATTGGTATAATTCGTTTTCCTAGATAGTGGGCGCATTGAACACCACAAGAATACAAGTAGTAGATGATGTTGAATTACCATGAAATCGATTTGAATCCCTACGAAATAAATTACACATTGTGGATGAAGATGGGGATCAAAAAGCGATGTGAAGAATTGGTATTCAAAGAAAATCTATGCATTGACGAATCAATAATTCCATTCAAAGGACAACTTTTAGTGAAGCAGTATCTAAAAGGAAAGCCAAATCCATGGGAAGTAAAAGGGTTCATGCTTTGTGGTACTTACTCTGTCCGTTTGGAAGAAATGTTTCAGACTGCTAATTCATCTAATAAGTAATATTCCATAGCATGAAGGACACAAACTGTTTTGTGATAATTATTTTACATTACTACTATTACTGCAAGAACTATTAGAAAAAGGTGTTTTCGTAACAGGAACCATCTCAGCAATAGACTTGAAAAATATTCCTTGAAGTCAGAAAATAAGCTAAACAAAAGTGAAAATATCAGAAAGCATTGAATTTCGTAGGTATTGAACCTGAAGATAGGACAGAAAGGAAGTTAGATAAGCGTGATTTTTTGTACTTTTATTAGATTAAGAAAGTGGACTTTGAGGGTAAGTTTCCATTACTTCAACCTAGCCGTTTGTAACGCTTGGTTAGAATATCAATCAGAAATGGAACGGCGAGGAGTAGCAAAAAAGGATAGCAAGGATTGTAAGGAGTTTACTATATCAATAGCAAAAGGTTAGCACTTTCTGATATCAAAACGAAATAGACCATTGTGCGAAATTTCCAGAAATGCATAAGTGCTAATCAAGTGCAAAAAACACATACTATTGCCGATACATAAAAAAGCAACGCTGCAAGGTACATATGGAAGGCATTCAATGCGAAAAGTGCCAAGTGCTCCTCTGTTTATCAAATGCAATGATAAGGTAAATGGAATATACCATAGCAGATGATATAACTAAATAGTGATCGCTGGTTTTCAGATTCCTACGGAGTTACACCAAATATGATTTCTGGTATCCTCAAGTAACTACAAATATAACGTACAGAAACAGATTTTAAGTAAAATTTATGTACAACACAAAGTGAAAACATTTATTTAAGTTTATTTATTGTACCTTATGAAATAACAAAAAAAAATAAACACGTTAGAAAAAGCAACATTAAAAAAGACAATAGATAAATCCTTAACCAAGTATTTGATTTAACCACTTAAATTTGAAGGTCTGATATGGTGGTTTGGCGACATAAATGCTTTTTTCTCTCGTAGGATCTTTTGTTAACATACAATCGATTGTGGTATATTTCACTTTGTTGTATAATGTGCCTTTCACTGCATTTTATTTCCTCTATCACCTTTATGCCATTTTGTATGAAATTATGCACTTCCATTAATTTTATGATTAGAACTTTTTCTGGTTGTGTTCAGCAACAATTTCATCACTACCACTTTATTATTGATTTCATTCATGTCGTCAACGATATAATCATTCGGTAGTACCCCTATTATTTTAAGAGGATCAAAACATTATGTCAAAAATTTTTGCATGATCATTTAGCTGATCATCGAATATAACGACTAAAATATTTTGATAAATCCTTAATTCCGAGGTAGTGTAATAACTGTATAGTAACGCAGTTGTATTTAAGGGCAAAAAATTACATTGACACGAGGATCATAAGTTATAAGAGTAGTCTAGTGTTTGGGTGTTTTTATGAACAGTTGTCAGGAAAAGGAAATGTAAAACAAAACCAACTATTGCTGGTTAAAAGGTTTAATCTTCTGCACCATACTGGTCAGCTACAGAAAGTTCATGACTTATTGTTAGTCCAGCAGTGGACACGAAATGGAAAATGAAACTCAACTCCACGCAAATTTCACGTATTGTATATAAATTATGTTGTATTGTTATATACTAACACCGAAGAATAATTAGGCATGACATAAGGCTCAAATGAAAAGAACACGAAAAGATAAAACGTGAAGAACTCTTCTGGGGCTACACTCCAAGATGCTTACTTAAAATAAATTAATTGTGCACATCATCTTTATACCGATCTAAGTATCTGATATTCAAGTATGGGGATGCGCTAGCGATAGCAACGTCCAGGCCATCTAGACATGGCAGAATAATCTATAGAAAGATTAAAAGGTTCCTTCATCAGCGAGGAAATTAAATGGGTCGCTGGGAAGCACGAAGATCGCCTTTATCAACACACCAACGCACAAATTCAACACGTACTTCAGCATAACTCGCAACCTTGGCTGTCAGTGGATAAACTATTGTAATTGTAAACTACCATAAAAATTATGTAAATTTTGAGAAACCTACTTCTGTATTCACTCAAAGTGAAACAAAATGACTCTTAATATAGTTTGGGAAAAAATTGTTTTTAACATCGATATATGAGGTTGGATTTACCTTTGTTATCATATTTGGCAAAACAAATAATTGTTTTAATAACATTATTTGATGTCATCTTTATTACTTGTTTCACACAATAAACCTCTATAATTTTTAATAAAACTTAAAATCTGTTATACGAATCAATATCAATAAAACTGTAATTAACCCTAATTGTAGGAATTAAATAAAAACATTGTTGACAATTAATGTTGGTTAGATGTTATTCTGACGATTTCATTCAACAACAACGATGTTCTAACACACTGACCCAAAGAGACGAATCGTTTCTAAAGAACTGAAAGGAGTTTAGAAATTACTTAGCGGAAAATCGATTAGCGGAACTAGCTCCATTGTGACATCCTACCTACTTGAACACTTGCCTAACATGCATACACCATTTGCGGTGTTTATTCAACGACACGTTTCGCAGGTAAGAAACGAAAATAAATTAAATAAATTTGTATAGTTTTACCTTTAAAGCCGGGATTGTCGAAGGCGTATTCGTCACCTTTTTCCGGATCTTTTTCCAATATAAGATGTTTTCCTGTAATAAAAAAAAAATTTTATTAAGAAAGTCTAAACGGATTAAGTTATTAAAATTATTTAGTTGAGTGCACACTATAATAAACTATTTTTAATTGATATTTTTACAAAAGGAGAAAGTTAATTGTCGGATAACCATCCATTTAAGTAAGTTGATTACTAATTGTTAAAAAAAGTAATACTCATCAACACTATTAATATATTTAATAGAGCACAGAAAATTGATTGCATGTTAATTAAAAGAGTTTAGCATTTAAACACTTTAAGATTTTCCTAAGGGGGGTCTTCGAAACAATATTTACGATTAGTTTTACACGAATCTATCCCCACATAACATTCTTGTGAAACAGTAGATTATGTTAAAAAGGTCGTAAATTCAGAAACATTTAATGACTCACGATAAAAGAAGCGGATTAAGAGAGTTTCAAAGTATAACTAATGAGTCGAGTGGGTCTCGTGTGGGAAAGTTGTGGTGATGATAATAACACCATGACTGTCTTCTAATCTATGTAACGCTACTCGGAGTCAATCGATTAATTGCATCACATCAATCACACACCTATAAGTTATTTTCAAAGTTTTCTTTTCGATATCTGTACTAAACGGTAATTTATTGACCGAATTAGGAGGACTTCTTTAATGAATATATTAAATACTAATCTATATGCCAAAATTTAAACGACCAAAAATTAACATTAAATGATAAAGTATTCTAATACATAACAACTGTTTTAGGCTTTAAATACTTATAATATTTTAATATATGATAATTATTATAATTATTTTTTCTGATTCATTTTAATAAGTTAACCGCACTAACGGAATTATCAATTAAAATTTTTTGGGTTTTTCAACGTTTTTATTTGTATTGAGCTTAAAAATATTTTTGATTTTGTCTATTATAAACATGGATTTTTTTAAAACCTTATATATTAATGTTTATACATGGCTTTCGCAGGTTTTGTTTAGGCAGTCTGTTTGCGATAGTTAGTATTATAACAATCTACATAAAATACCTCGTCATTATTGTTCATCGTTATAGATATATTGCATATATCAGGATTTGGAATTTTTATATGATATTAACCAAATCAGTCATATGGCAGCAACAACCATGTGCAAATTGCGCCTGGGGCAACTGATGGCTGGGTCGAATAGCCCATCAGTTTGTCACTACTGGTCCCAAGTAGAGAAGAAGTAGAGAATTGGGCGTGGCGATTATAGCAGACAATAAATTTAAAAGCAGTGTAGTAGAGTTTCAAGAAAATAATGAGCGAATATGTCCACTAATAAACGTCCACTGCCACACAAAGGAATATGAAGAGGATACCAAAGTAAGATGTTTATTATAACTCAAGTAAGTAATGACATCAAAATGATCTCTATCCTGTAAACTGCATAATAGGGAAACTCTAATTGCAAGATGAAAATAATGTGAACGAAGAATTCATAATAAACCGTGCCACTAGTAAAGATATGACAGTAAACTCAACATGCCTCCTCAAAAAATAACCACAAAGAAATATGGATACTACTGAATGGAAGCACAGAAAACCAATTAGACTACATTATGATAGATAGGAGAGATGCGTGTAGTATCCTAGATATCAAAACAAGAAGAGGAGAATGCTGTGGTACCGAATATCCAAGATTAGTGCCCACAGAGACAAAGAGATAATAATGAAACTGGATAGAGATAGACTACAGTTGTCAAACTTAAAAAAAGATAAATAAGCTAAAAACTGATATCTGAGTAACATTAAGAATAGACAGCAAAGAGAATAATAAACGAGCTGTTTGATTTGATGGCGAAAAATACTTGAGAAGGATAAAAACCAAAGACAAGTCTATACAGCAACGAACAAGATCAAATAATCAGCAATTTGCAAAAAATAAAATCTATTTGGAAATATTATTTCCACACATTACTAGGGAGAAAATCGGAAGGCGAAAAAAGGAGACTTTGAGGAAGAAAATACAGAACTCCAACGTTATAAGAAGTTAGAGAAGTAACAAAAAAGCGCTAGGAATTGATGAACAAAACACTTATACATACGGAGAAACAAGATATGGTAGGAAAACAATCTTTGCTGAGTGGAAAAGAAGTATCTGCCCGGTGCACCAAAAAAAAGGAAGTGCACAACTTATAGTGAGGTATTTCTTCTCCGCAGTATCTACAAAATATTGACATATATTATCAACAAACATCTTAATCCTCTAGCTGAAGGGATTATTGGTGAATATTAGGTATTGCACTACAGATCAGATATTCACAGTTAAAAAAATTCCAGGTATTTACCAATACGAGATCGACGTACACAAGATTTTTATCGACATTAAACAAGTCTATGAGTCAATAGATCAAAATAAACTATACAAAATATTGGACGAATTGACGCTGCCACGGAAACTGGTGCGACTGATGTAGATAATAATGGTATAATGGATTTAATTTGGCATTGGATTATGTAATAACACAGATGACCATTGGGAGAAAAAACTTATTAACAACTAAAAGTGTGCATTTCGATGCTTACGCGACAATATAGAGTGTACAAAAGCTGAGTCAGCGTAATAGGAGTACTCATAAATGAAGAGATATACCATAGGGGCCTCATTGGACATAAATACACACAAAACAAAGATATTAACACTGACAACAGAAAGTCAACCCAAAGTTTGGAGTAAATGATGGAGCTGGTTGAGCAATTTGTATACATGGGACGCAGCTCAGCTTTGATGATTATTTTTATTATTATATAACATCAAATCTTAACAACTCCTCCCTAAAACCCCTTTCGTACAGTTCATCAGACTTTCAAGACTACTATAGGCAGGACATGTTATGAGGATCGAAGAAAGAAAATTACCAAAGAGAACTTTCAATGCTAGAATGCATGGGAAAGAACCGGTGAGGGGACAAAGGAGGCCATCGCTTCATTTGGGTTGTAGTGTCATAAAAAGGAAGGAACAGCTATATGCAATTCAAATTCTATTGATCATGAACTATAACAACGTAATCGAACAATTCAAGCAGCTGTTTTGTATCTAAGACATCGGTTCATGTTGGAATTTCAGCATTAGAAAAATTTCTTCTTTCTGTTTAGTTTGTATGTTTAGCAAATTAATTGTAATAAGAAATTGCATTATTCAATTCAACAGATTATTTTCCTCGTTGTTTATTACACGGTATTCGATATATGTATACAAGCAATGCACAGCTTTGAATATTTGAGCAAGATCACTCTGCTAAACGAGGTAAACGTAACAGAGACTTTCAGTTTTGTTAAACCATTTAATATTTTTTGCCTGATTTAATTCTGGCAACATTCAGCTCTTTTTCTGAGAAATTATGCTGACATACGTCAAAATTATCAAAAGAATGTTATATTTTAGTTGAATAGTTAGACTGGCTACAATAAACATGTTACCAGATGCAGCGGCATAAACATTGAATTTTTCTGGAAGATAAAGAATTAATCAAAGAATAAATAGAGAAGGAAAGTGATATTCATTAGAACTCAGCAAAGAGCTGAGAGATTCTAAATAAACTAAACCTATCATAACCATGGTCGATTTAGTTTATTTAGAATCAATAGACGACTGTTACAGTTTACAGCATCAAGGTCAGCAAGGTCAGCATGGTTGAGTTGGTGATAATATATCTTTTACGTACATCACAATATGATTATGTTTCTATGGTTAAAGCAAACGAGAGTAGTTGATCACGAAATTTACTACGATATTTCATGAAGTTCTTAATGAAGAAACATTAAACTGTCATATCATAATATTTATTCAATAAGATTTTATTCTAATAATTTATTTTATTTTTCGAATTTTCTCTGTTAATGTTTTCTCCTATTATTAGTACCCTTCCTTTTTTCTCTTCCCTAATAACCTGCTTCATTCTTTCCGCTTCTATTGTATACGCTGCATGGTTTTCTCTTCCTTTATAAGCCCATACTGCTCGGAAATAATTTCCAGGTTACGCTTTTATTTATAGAACTATAAAGTTATTAACTTAGTTTAGTATATTTGTTAATTTGTTGTTTTGTTTATTTTTTTGTAGCATTTTTAGTTGCACTAATCATGTTCATTATTTTTTTTTTGGTGTTTTTTCTATTAGTCGTACTAGGTAAATGAAATTTGTTCACTGGTATTATTCACCAGCCATTATTTTCGCATGGCGATTTTAATGATTTTGGGATTTCGAACACTTCGTTATACAACAGTCATTATTCATTATAAAGGGCTCAATAACATTGAGTTTAATGAGTATGTTTTAGAATTATTTATTAGGATATATTGTAGGATTCAATTAATCATTTCTCACATGCCGTTCTCAGTTGACATTATCTATAAATCTGGTAGTTTTCTGGAGTGTCCTTTCTGTGTTTGAGGATGGTGTTTTCGTTTTCTTTGGATTCTGAAAGTAATGTGTATAAGGTGATATTAATATTAATTCTCACGAAGTTAATGTTGTATGACAACCGCCCTCTATAGTTTTTTGGGCTTCATCATATAATTTAATTCTGCTATGTGAATCAATTATACGCTGACCGATCTTAATTTGAAATCAAATTTAGGAGTTGTGTATAATGTGGCAAATAACTGCTGTAACATTTCGTTTTGTTTCATGATTCATAATTCACTGAAGATGGTTACCCGTCCATATTCAAGATGAGTACATAAACAAGTTGATTAATCAAGTTGTGAATCAGTAAGTTTAATTTAGAATATTTGTTTCTGTAATCTACAGTGGCCAGTTAAAAAGTAGGTGAGAAGCCAAAAGTTCTCTTATAACTTCTCTACCAGTTATACAACCGTTTTCCACTTTGAGTTATACAAGGTTTACTTTGATTTTTAATATTTGTTATTTTTATAAATAATGTAGACAATTTTTTTATTTAATGTCCTTGCATAGGCGGGTAATCTAAATGTATATCGTAAGTAATACAAGCTTTATCGAATCATAATGTGGTTTATGTATAGTCTGGT